TGCTGGTATTATATGATATGAGGCGCATCGAAGCATCAATTCAAAAAGGCTAAAAACACAAATAATTTGACGGGGTGATTCATGGTAGTTGCTGTTCCCCAAATCCTCCACCCTGACACAGGACCAAACATACGCGGAGTTCTGTGTGATGCATATACTTGAGGTAGTTGATATAAAAGTAGCTGACATCATAAAATCAATGGGAATTGTGGCAGTAAGAGTGTTGGGAGTAGATCATAGCGTGGTACAATGAAGCACTGAATAATTAGTGTGTAAATTCAACTCATAGCAAAATGAATGCAATTTAAACTGTCATTGTTCAATGAGCCGATGATGCTGTGTAGAAGTGAACAAGATTCATTTTCAAATGATCAGACTAAATGCATTCTAGAGAATGCTTTTGATAAATTCTACATACTGCGGTAAAGGTGGTGTAAAAGAGTGAGAAGAAAACGACAAATTGAACTTATAAAAGGCTCAATTGCGAGCATTAGTTCGAAAATTGTTTGAGCAACATTCAAATATCAGTCGGTGTTAATGAAGAACATACTATCACTCATATGAATCAAATAATTATCTCTCAATTGCTTCAATATGAGACAATTTCAAAAAATTCGATAGACCGAGAGTAACGAGAAAATCTCAAATCGAAATTCCCGTTCATCGGTTTAAAACATCTCATTGAGGATTTAATTTTTACCGTACCCAAAAATTCTGCGTTGGTGGTCTCCACAATAGACTCCGCCTCTTCTTTTACTTCACTCGCTGAACAGTCAGCCAATCAGCGCATAGCAGTGTGCGCTGATTGTGCTGGTTACGGTAACTTTTGCAGTGTGGCAAATTTTCGTTAAAATTTCGCATTCGGTAGTGATTTTTTGCTCTGAAACGATTGCCATGCCACTAGTTATGCAGAGCCGTGAATGGAAGTAAGGCGGTATTTCGGTGGCATCAAAGACAGGTTTTTTTGGCTTCAGATGGGCTATTGGAATGGCAGGAGGATCAAATTAAAGACGCTCATCCAATGGTGCGACCCGTCGGTCAAGAGGTAAACCCAGTGATTTAAAACCAAAACGTGAAACGTCTCGTATTGTCAAGTCTGGCTCCCAACTAACACTTATATCAACGGCTATGCTCAAAGATCCGTTCCTTCCAGCAATTCGGAAGGCTAGAACGTAGAATATCAAACCTCTGTTCTGTCACTGGAGAATTCGTCCTTTACATTCCAAATTTTTCTCCGGTTATTCAATGTTCTTCATTAAGGCTCATTTGACGTGTCCAGCTGAACACGCTCCAGGCGTTTCTGGTACAGCCGAATGGGAGAAAGTTGGTGGTGACCTACCGTACGCGTATTCGATTCGCAACGGTGAACTGATCCTTAAAGATTTGTCTCGATATGATGAAGGCATTTATCGTTGTACGATACGCGCAGAGTCAGGAATGGCTACGGTGACCTATATTAACCTACAAGTCTCCGGTCAGTTTACAGTCTGGAACGGAATTCATCTCAGTCATTCCATTAGTGGAAGAGGCTTTTTTTTCCAAATTAAAGGAATGTCTTGCAATCAGCTCCTTGACAATGGTGTTCTGAACTCGTTTCAGATTTTGTTCCGTCATTCAATGGATCTGGATTCGTGAAACTGAAACCAATGACAATTAACGAATGGGAAGATGTGAATATTAAGTTGTCGGTGAAACCAAAAATGAGAGATGGTTCGCGAAATTATTATCGTTTTTTCGTTAACTTTTTCCGAAATTTTTTTCCAATTCTAATGGTTTGTCTGTGCGACGACAAAGCGACAAATAATTTACGGAACAATAAGAGGAGCATTTTCCGGAGCGATCTATATTTGGCTATTAAAATTTTTATAAGAAAATTTGGAATTTATCGGTCATTCGTGATTCGTTTAGACCGGCACATCGAATCTGGTAGCCGTCTCCATGATACAGTCGTAAAATCAAAGCGCCATAACAAGTTTCAATGTTTAGGTCTGATTTTCTACACGTCGAGAGGTAAAGAAGGCCAAGATCACGCTGATAATTTCATTAGTGTTGGGCTACGAAGAGGCAAAGTAGTTTATCGATACGATGTAGGAGATGGCTTGGGTGGGTGAATGTTTTTAACCGAAGATCTTCGAGCGTTTTTTTTTTCTTTCATATACATGCACACTATGCGATTTTTGATTGATCATCTGAAATCAAGCTGATTGATCAATTCTCAAGGAAGTATGCAGCAGAAAAAGTGTGGTATTTAGATATAGAATAGTGCAAAAAGTTACTTTGAATTGACAGCAAAAATTCATCAATTCACATCAATATTTCGAATTATTTTCATTCATTTAACTGATGATTGTAGTTTTCAAACAAGCTCTATCTCCTTTCTTGTTATTTTTATCACTCATTCATGTTCTATCGAGTCTAACTTTTTTCCTATCCCAAACTGATGGGAGCATGTGATTTCAGAAGAAATCGCGAGTACATATCCAGTTCGCGCTAACGAATGGCATCGGATTGAACTGAAAAACAATAAAGATAAAGGTTCGTGTTTGTAACAGTGATATTTTTTTCAAATAATCTGTTTTTGTGACTCTCGCGCATGTAATACCATGAATTCAAACGATTGATTGGGATGTATTCAGTAGAGTGAAGTGAAGATTGGCGTATGTCTTCGTTGAAATGGAGCCTTTTTGAGCTTAATCGATTGGACGATCAGTTAGATTTTTTTACGTTTCAAATATTCTTTCAGCTGTACTATACGTTGATTCACATGATATCGTAGAGAAGAAGAATGAGGGATTCGCAATCTCTGAAGCACCTCCAACAAACATTAGTATTGGAGGGATGGAAAATCTTCAGTCGAAGCCTCAAGCCGGTTTTGCGCGCGGTTTTGATGGTAATTTGATCACCATGCCTTCTCATTTTTCATCGCGGTTCCCTAATTTTTTTCAGCCTATGAAATTTTCTGATTCAAAAAGTTAATGGAAAATGGTCTACTAAATAATGATATAGTGAAAACTGAACTGTGTTAGTAGAGATATCGAAGACGGTGTTTCGATAACAATTTAGTAACGATAAGGTTCGATGAATTTGAGGTGTGATCAGCGAGTTATTGGTATCTGGAAGACCGATCGATATCGGCGAAGAGGCACTGGCGAGTTTTGGTATCGTAGAGCAGAGTACAATATGCTCGATAAATCCGTGTCAACACGGTGGTTTGTGTGTTCCAGCGAATGTTCATCGTGGATTCGCATGCAATTGCGAGCGGACGGATGGTTTCGAAGGAGAATTCTGTGAACGACGTTCAAGGAAATGCAATGGAGGTAGATAGAAGTTTTTGATCGTTTTTGGAAAATAATATCAATTCGAAATGATTTCATTCATAAAGAATTCGGAAAGTATCCGTATCGTTCCTTCAAACGGTTTCATTAGCCACCATCACAAGTCACATTCCAATAACGAGCAGAAGAATGTGCGCTGAAGCTGTTTTCCCGGAAGTTTTCGCATGCGTAAATTTCAATTTGTTAACGATCGTGAGTTAAACGCGTGTAAATTTGCGTGTCAAAGTTAAACCGTTCGCCGATTTATTCTCAACTCAATGAGCTGTAAGCGAATTGCAGAGAAATGTGCTGTTGGATCGTGTGTTCTCGATGAATCAAATGGATCACATTCATGTCTCTGTCCATACGGTCGAATTGGACGTTTGTGTGAGCATATCGACAGAGGTGCTCATCAAAAACCGTTGAATGCAATTCGTTTCAATGGTGAAAGTTCCTTTTTATCCTTACCACCTCCATCGACACTTCGCAATTACACGGTTCGTTCCATTGGAAATATGAAAGTTTTTGAATTGGCAAGATGGTTTTCTGTTGAGATGACGTATAAATTATGATAATGGGGATGAATATCATTCATGAGACTGATCAAAATAAGATTTAAGTATAATATAAGAATATGAACGAATTTATTCAATAAATGTCTGTCAATCATTGAACTGAATCCAATTACGGTTATTCTCTCATTTGCTCAACTCTCGAACTATTCAGTAAACTCTGGAGATAGGTACGCGATTTCAGTTAGTTCCTGGCCTTTAGTAGGAAATGATTTTTTGCAGTTAGAATTATTGGTGAGTCCTCGAACTACTCAAGATCAGCTGCTGGCTTACGTTGCGTCCGATTACGATCCCAAACATAGCAATTTCATGGGATTGGTTATGGAGAACGGAAAATTCGTCTATGTTTACAACAATGGCGATGGTTCGGCGATGAATTTGTTTCTGATTCCTTCTTTGAAGACAACCCAAAATCCCAGATGCAATCGCAATTCTAAAAAATCCAATTCTATTCCTTTTGGCATCACTGATTGCTTTAATTACCTCATAATTTTGATGCTTGAAATTATGGCGGAAGAATCAAATTTTTACATGAAAGAAATATCAGTTTCAGGTGATTTCGAGATTGAAGATGCTGAACAAGTCAAAGAAGGTAACGCATATAGGGTAGAGCTGAAACGAATCGGTCCGAAGGGAGAGTTCGGAATCAATGATCGTAAGGTGGCAAGTAGACGTCAACAACCTTCCTTCCAAGTGGGCACCGATTTATTTGTTGGTGGCTTACCGCCTGGTGTTGCACCACATAGACGCTTGGAGCAGTACAGTTCACTGAATGGTTGCATCTATAAGGTTTGTGCTTTCATGAACTCGTTTTCCAGCTTTGAGTTTCGAAAATTTGTGTTTTTAAGTGGGATATATCAGTGTTTGATGTCTCAGAGAATATGTATCCATGTAATTCTCTCGAAAAGAAGATTCATTCTGAATGCTTGGCATAACAGATTTGTTTATGGGAGCTAAAGAGATAACTCAGAAGCCGGTATTATGATATTGTCTGGGCAACAATATCAGTTATTGTTTATTGGAGTTTATTGGAGGTTAATAAAATGAATGTAATTCAGTAACAATGAGGTACCTAAATGGCGCTGTCAAGACGCTTCAAGACGAATTTCAGATTTCGAGAAAGTTCCGCATTTATCTCATTCATTCTGATTAATGAAATAGCATTTGTAAACTTGATCAATCAGTCGGATTAAATTTGGGTGTAATGAATTGCGAAAAAATCTAATTCTCTCGAAAAGAAGATTTATTCTGAATGCTTGGCACAATAGAATTGTTCATGGGAGCTGAAGAGATAACCGAGATACCGGTATTATAATATTATCTAGGCAACAATATCAGTTATTGTTTATTGGAGTCCTTGTCAGCCATAATTTGATGAATGATGATGATACTGATATAGCCGATTGTCATTATCGTGGCTCAGTGTTTACCAGTAATTCATTATCACAAAGATTTGTAGTAGTAAACCTGAGCGTTTAGTGCCCGCTGGAGCTATTATCATTTGTTTTAATTAAAGGCATTTACTTGCCATTCAGCATTATCTGCACGATTCTCCTTACAGAAAAGTTCTATTTAGCAGATATATGAATTAAACCAATGTCATTTGCAGTATTTCTTTTTGCTTCAACATATCGCATATGGAAATGAAATGAAATTCACATTAATTTGCTAACATTAATTAAATTTTTCGATCCATTTTCATGTATTAGCATATAGTTGATTGATGATCATAAAATTGGTCAATTTTCTTTTGAGGTAATTGCATATTTCAAAATATTAATTCTGAAACATAGCACAACCGAATATGTTGATGACATTTGATCAATCTTCAATTTTGATCATAAAACATAATAATGAATCTTTTCATGGATTCATTTCAGATCATTATAAATGGTGAAGAACAAGACTTGAAACGATTCGCTACAGTTTCATCGGGTGGTTTGAGTGAATGTGAGGAGGAACTCCCTCCTATACCTACAACTACCACCACGACTACTACTACAACACCGTTACCAGTCGTCACATCAACCGTTGCTGTAATGCCTGAAATTGAAATAACTCCGGCCGCACTTTTTACC